CTTTGGCCTTGACGCTTGCCCTATTACGTGATGGTGTGCACTTGGGGGTTCAGGGAGAAGAAAGCCGACAGGCCTGCGAGGAAGGGCTGTTGTGCTAAATGCCTTCCAGATGGTGATGCGGGAAGGGAGATAAGCTGCTGCCGTCCATCTGGCCTGACAGGACGTGATGTGTTCGGCTTGTACCCCGGGGGCCGTTATCGCCCTGCCCTGACAGCCCGCGCCGCTCTGGGGTTTGTCCTTAGACAGGGGCTGGATTTGGCAGCTCTGACCGATCCCTGAAATGAAATTTGCTCTCAGAGCAGCGGGGAGTCTGCCAAGAAGCGCTCAGGAGCCCTGAACAGAGAATCAGAGGACGCTAGCTGCCGAGAGCGTCTCTGGAGCCCGACGCCCGGGGCTGTCGGGCGAATGCAAGCCCTGGAGGGATGTTGTCTGTCCCGGGTGGGTGGGGACCGTGGCCAAGGGATTTGTGGGCCTAATTGTTGTACTACATCAGGACGCAGATTCTGAGCTGGGGGTTCCAGGTCGTCAGGGACCTGTGTGGAGGAGGATTCCGAGGTCCTCTGCAGCCGGGCTTAGCAGGGCAGAATGCTCCCCTTGATCTTTGCGTCACATCTCCCTGCTGAAAGCATGGTGAGTGTTGTGCTCTCTGTCAACTCTGTCCTAAAAAGGAACAAACAGGCCTCAGCTTACAGCAGCGTTTCCTTCACCTTCCAAACAGAGAGAGATTCTGCATGAACTGCAGTAATACTCTTTGTTGTTCCAGTGAGGTTTGGAAAACGTTGATTAGCGCCCTACATGGGAAGAGGGGTCAAGGCCACCAGAAGGGCCTTTGCATACCTCGGCCCCAGCCCACTCTCAAAGGAGACCCTCCCACGGGTGAGCTGGGAAGGCAGCAGGTGGCTGGGAGGCGCCCAGGGCTCTGCCCTTGCTGGGCAGCTGTCTGGAGGTGGCCACCTCCCAGGACTACTGACTTGGAGGTGAGCCACTGCTGGCCCTAGGACCTGAGTGGAGGTAGGAGCTGTTGTGCAGAAGCTGAGCCATGAGTGGCCATGACCGCTCTCCTGTCTGTGCTGGGAAGGCCTTGCCCTCTGTAGCACGGGGGAGCTACAGGGATCCTGTGTTCTCTCCTCCTCTGGGTCCTGAGTGTGCACCCCAGGCGGTCACCCAGTGGGCCTCACTCGGAAGGGCCCCCTGCCTGAGTCCATTCTCTGTTGTTTCCATCTTGAAAATCTTTTTTTTTAAATATTTATTTATTTATTTGAAAGAGTTGTAGAGAGGCAGAGACAGACACACAGAGAGATCTTCCATCAGCTGGCTCATTCCCCAGATGGCTGCAATGGCCGGAGCTGAGCCAATCCAAAGCCAGAAGCCAGGAGCTTCCTCCGAGTCTCTCACATGGGTACGGGGTCCAAGGGCTTGTGCCATCTTCCACCACCCTCCTAGGCCATAGCAAAGAGCTGGATCGGAAGTAGAGCAGCCAGGACCCGAACCAGCACCCACATGGGATGCCAGCATCGCAGGTGGTGGCTCTACCCGCCATGCCACAGTGCTGGCCCCTCCATCTTGAAACTCTTTTTTTTTTTTTTTTTTTTGACAGGCAGAGTGGACAGTGAGAGAGAGAGACAGAGAGAAAGGTCTTCCTTTGCTGTTGGTTCACCCTCCAATGGGCGCCGCGGCCAGCGCACCGTGCTGATCCGAAGCCAGGAGCCAGGTGCTTCTCCTGGTCTCCCATGGGGTGCAGGGCCCAAGGACTTGGGCCATCCTCCACTGCACTCCCTGGCCACAGCAGAGAGCTGGCCTGGAAGAGGGGCAACCGGGACAGAATCCGGCGCCCCGACTGGGACTAGAACCTGGTGTGCTGGCGCCGCAAAGTGGAGGATTAGCCTAGTGAGCCGCAGTGCCGGCCCCATCTTGAAACTCTTAATGCTCTTGAAAACATGGGGGGCCATCCCGTATGGGCGCCAGTTCAAGACCCAGCTGCTCCACTTCTGATCCAGCTCTCTGCTATGGCCTGGGAAAGCAGTACCAGATGCCCCAAGTGTTTGGGCCCCTGCACCTGCGTCAGAGACCTGAATGAAGCTCCTGGCTCCTGGCTTCAGACTGGCCCAGCTCCAGCTGTTGCGGCCAGCTGGGGAGTGACCAGCAGATAGAAGACCTCTCTTTCTCTGCTTCTGCCTCTCTGTAGCTCTGCCTTTCAAATAATTAAGTAAATCTTTTAAAAAAACAAACAAACAAACAAACCAACGGGGCCCTGCATTGCCATTTTGCTTCTGTTTGCATTCGCTTTGCCTGCAAACTACATTGCCCTGGACCCCTTGGCCCCAGGGTTTCAGGGAGACAGGGCAGTGGGCTCTGTGTCGGGGGCCTGCACGGTGGTGGGGCTGGGGCAGAGGGCAGGGCCCAAGGTGGCTGAGGCTTGGGCCCACTCTGGGGTTTGGTATTATAGTGGGAGAGGACCCATTAGCAGAAAGTGGAGAGGTCAGCAGTCAGGGGCCCAGCCCAGCCTGGCAGTGCCTGTGTGAGCCGCCAGCATGGTTACGCAGTAGGCTAGCCAGGGGAGAGAGAGAGCGAGAGCGAGACTGGGGGCCGTCTGGGGGAGGGCCTGTTGCAGCCTGGGAGGGACTTTGTGTGCCTGGAGCAGCCAGCCACAGATAGGCCTGGTGGGCTCAGAGCCGGCCCAGGGAGCCCACCTGCAGATTGGGGGTTTAAGCAAGGGAAGAACCTGCCTAGAAGTTGAGCTGGGTCGATTCAGTAGTGTGGATCGGAGGGGACAGAACTGCGGGGCTGCTCGGATTCCAGGAGCAGAGGAGATGACTCGGCAGGAAGAGGAGACGAGGGAGCCTGGGGGGAGAGAACGGGAAGACTGAGGGGATCCGGCTTCCGCAGCGGAGCCTGGCCTGCTGCAGCACCACTCCCAAATCGGGGCGGTCTGGGGGCAGGAGGGCTGGGTGGGAAGAGGAGGAGTTCTGTTGGGACCACAGAGGGGGGTGCTGTGTGTTGGGCTTGCGCTGAGTCACGGAGCCTTTCCTTGTGGGGCCTGACCGCTGGCCTCGGGGTGGGCCGAGAGCAGGCGCTGGGCGAGGCAGTGCCGTTCTCCATTGGGCGGCTGAGTCATTTGTTTGGTGCCTTTGGCTGATGGGACTGAGCCAGGTCAGGAAGGGTGTGGCCGTGGTGGGAGAGAAGGAAGCAGCCAGGTGGCCCCGGGAATGGAGGTGGCTCTGTGGGCAGCCGGAGCTCTAGGCCTAGGCAGAGGGAGGTCTCACGGTCGGGGAGGGGCAGTGGATGGATCTGGTCACACCTCGACTGCGTTGGCCCTCTGATCAGCGCCACCACCCCTCTCCCTGTGTCCTCAAAGAAGTAGAATCCAAACTATAGCCTCCTTCCTCCTTTCCAAACATTTAAACAAATCTCAGGAGATGTGCAGAGTGTGTGTGTGTGTGTGTAGGGAGGGTGTGCCAGGGCAGTTCCTCGAGAAAGCCAAGTTTCCGGCACAGAGCCCGAGTTTGTACCTGGTCTGCTCACCGACGCATGCGACGGGCTGTGGCCTCCTGCAGTGCGGCGGCAGCTCCCACAGGAGCCCCAGCAGCCTCCGTAGTTGGTGTCGTTCTCTTACAAAATAAATTCTTCCAGCCACCGCCCCGGCCCCTGCCGCTGTCCCTGTGCAACCGAGAAGTCACTCCATCCCTCCTAGATGTACTTCACGTTTTTGCTGGATTCCGGTCCCGGCGCTTCTTTGTAGTTCTTGTCCCCGGTGGCTGGGCCACAGGGCTGGTGCTGTCTGGGCTCTCTTGTTCTCCTTGTTCCCATGGGGTCCTGGGGGAAGGGTCACATGGGTCCCAGCAGCCAGTCTGACCCTTTTGGGCCCTTGTGTGTTGCTGCCTCCTGGGGACGGCCAGGCTGGGTGTGGGGCACGGGGTGACCGAGACAGAAGGGGCACGTGGGTCGGTCTCCCCAGGGGCCAGCAGACGCCCAGGGGTGTATGCCAGGGCGGTCACTGGAGGAGGGCGGCCACAGGGGTGTCACGTGGCTGGGCGCACCTGGAAGGGGAGGAAGGAGAGGTACAACGGCCTAGCGGGGAAGGAACCCAAGGAGGCCTGCAGAGCCGGAGCTGGGGCAGGGGGTGAGATTGAGAATCCCCTCCCCAGGAAGGGGCGTGAGCCTCTGTGGCCACTGCCCCCAGGCCAGGATGCCGCCTCCTTGGCTGAGTGAGCCTAGGACATTGGCATGAGCGCAATGAGTGACACGGACTCGCACGCCCAGACTTGTGTGGTGGGCGAGCTTTCCGCGTTGTTCAAGCCCAGAGGGGAGTGGTCCTCCACCCCGGGGCTGTGAGGCCTCCCCACAGCTGCCCCCTCAGGCAGGGTCCCGCCTGCAGCCTGGCCACCACTAAGACATCTTCAGGCTGGGCAGCTCCCCCAGGCACGGCTGTCGAGGCTGGGGGAGCTGCTGCCCTGGAAACCGCTCCCGGGCTCTCATCCGTGGGTGGCATTGTTGGTCTTGGTTTTTGCCAAAGAAGATGCCACAAAGGCCCCTGCACACGTGTGGTTCCCTGGATGCCCATTAGGGGGCACTCTCCCATTACTCGCCAGGCGTCTGTGCTGTGGACAGCCCTTCCCAGGAGGAAGAAGGGTCTTAGCGGGACCTCATGCAGATTCCTCGATGACCCACTGGCCTTTCCACCTGGCCTTTTTCCAGACTCGGGTTTTTGGGCACCGAAGTTCTGATTTAATTCTCATTGGCTATAAAAAATCATTAGAAGTCCTGAACATTGCAGCTGTTAAGGAAACTCAGGTTCTGCTGGATTCGGATGAGGGAGGTCCTGCATGGGAGGCTGCAGCCTCTATGGTGTCCGAGGGGAGGTGGAAGCGGAGCACTGGGAGCCGTGTGCTGGGTCTTTAAAGGGCCCCATCCGTGTGTGCGTGTGCGTGGCGGGGGGGCTGATGAATGTGCCATTAATGAGCCGAGTTCCATCTGGAATAATTCTCCCATTGTGTCCCCAGCGCCTGCCCGGCTGCTGCCCGTGTGGACCTCGCTGCCCCGGCCTCAGGACTTGCAGCCTTGCCTTCCGCCCCAGCTGTCCACAGAGCAGAAGCCTCCGCTTCCTCCTGCCAGGACCTGGTCCAGGACGCAAGCAGGTATTGGGGAAGCTCCCTCTCTGCAGCAGCGGCTCCTGGAGAGAGGGGTTGTGGCCCTTGGCCCCGAGGCTGTGGCTGGGCGGCATTTCTCATGGTGCCAACAAGGCGTTGACGGGCTGTGATGTAGCTGACGTTAGGCTCATGGGACAATGGACGGCCTGTGTGAGCGAGTGTATTAGGGCGCTCCAGACAAGCAAGAAGCAGCAGAGTGTGCGTGGGTGTGTGTGCCTACACAGCTGTGCACAGGGGGTTGGGGCTGTGGCCTGGCCTGTCCCCACATCTGCGGATGCTCCAGGCCCTTAGGGAGAATGGCCTAGAGCTTGTCTAGAACCTAGGTTCTCTCCCGGTGCTTTATGTGGTATCTGGATGACCCCTTATACCATCCATCGTTGTTACACTGCCCTTTAAGGAGTAAGGATGAGGCACCTACTTTATTCCTGGATGGTTCTGATGTGTGATTGGTTGAATGTGCATACTCAGGCCCCTGGATACGGAGGGCTGTCTCTTGTATGTATAGATGCGGCTGTGTTTTAAGGAATTGGCTCACATGACAAGAGCAGGCTGGCAGGCTGCAGACCCAGGGAGGAGTTAATGTTGCAGAATTCTAAGGCCACCGTGGGCACTGGGCACAGGGAAGCTGCCACGTGGAACGCCAGCGCCCGTGTGGGAGGGCCTGGTGTGAATCCTGGCTGCTCTGTATTTCTGATCCAGCTTCCTGCTGGTGCACTTAGGAAGCCGCAAATGATGGCTGCAGCGTTTGAGTCTCTGCTACTCACATAGGAGACCCAGATGGAGTTTCTGGCTCCTGGCTTTGGCCTGGCCCAGCCCCGGCTGTTAAGGGCACTTGCGGGGTGAACCAAGAGATGGAAGATCTCACTCACTCTTGCTCTCTCCTCCTCCTCCTCTTCCTCTCTTCTTCTCTGTCTTCTCCTTTCAAATAAATAAATAAAGCTTTTGAAAAATTCCAAGACTGTCTGCTGACAGAAGTGCCTCTTCCTTAGGGCCCTGGGTCTTTTCCTCTTGAGATCTTCAACTGATTGATCGGGTGAGGCCCACCCAGGGCGGATAATTTGCTTTCCTTGAAGTTTAAATGTTAATCTCATCTGAAGTGATATCAGGTCTGGGATTTTGCCAAGTATCTGGGTACAGTGGCCCAGCCAAGTTGACACACACGGTTAACCATCACAGCAAGTGAGACAGAGACAGAGACAGAGACACACAGAGAGAGATCTTCTACCTCCTCTTCCTTTCTGAGGCCACCTGGGCTCGAAGCTGTGTCTGCCTCTCACGTGGGGTGCACTGGGTGACCTCCCCTTCGGCGTCTGTGCCCTGGAGCCTGCTCCTGTGAGTTGCTGCTGAAGCTCATGCATTTGCACACTGAGTGCTCGCTCGGCTGCGTGAACTTAGGGAGACCCTGGCCAGACCTGTGCTGGGGTTGGGTCGTGGAGGTCTAGAAGGCAAAGCCCCACTCTGCCCTCCTGGGGCTCACAGCCCTCTGGGGATGCCAGGCGTGGCATCTGGGTGGTTCTGAGGGCTTCCGGGGGGCAGTGACTGAGAGCAGAGGGCTGTCCAGGCCAGGGGGCTGCTGAGGATGCTGGGGGAGGGAGAAGATATGGCTAGGACAGGGGAAGAGCATTGCCGGGACCTGAGGAAGGGGGAGGCGCCACAGAGGAGCCGAGCCACAGGTGCTCAGTGTGGCTGGAGTCTGAAGAGAAGGCAGTAGTGGTGGCCCCGTGGGCGGCCAGGCAGGCACACACGGTGACCGTGGTGTAGACTGTCAGTGGGGGTGGCCTCACGGGCAGGCCAGGCAGGCGCGCACGGTGGCCATGGTGTAGACTGTCAGTGGGGGTGGCCTCACGGGCAGGCCACTTCCGATCCAGCTCTCTGCTATGGCCTGGGAAAGCAGTACCAGATGCCCCAAGTGTTTGGGCCCCTGCACCTGCATCAGAGACCTGAATGAAGCTCCTGGCTCCTGGCTTCAGACTGGCCCAGCTCCAGCCTTTGCGGCCATTTGGGGAGTGACCAGCAGATGGAAGACCTCTCCTTCTCTGCTTCTGCCTCTCTGTAGCTCTGCCTTTCAAATAATTAAGTAAATCTTTAAAAAAAAAAAAAAAAACGGGGCCCTGCATTGCCATTTTGCTTCTGTTTGCCTGCAAACTACATTGCCCTGGACTCCTTGACCCCAGGGTTTCAGGGAGACAGGGCAGTGGGCTCTGTGTCGGGGGCCTGCACGGTGGTGAGGATTGGCAGCAGGGGTCGCCCCATGGGCCGGCCAGGCAGGCGCACATGGTAGCCATGGTGAGGACTGGGGGCTTCATCTGCTGTTTCCTTTGGTAGGGTTTTTTTTTTTTTTTTTCTCTTCATAATAGGCCCTTCTAAGAGAAGAATATAGATTTACAGAAAATCATTAAGAAAATACTGAGATTCTCCATTTATCTAAGCCTGTAGTTCCTCTATTAGCTTCTTTTTTAAAACAAAAAGATTTATTTATTTGAAAGTCAGAGTTATAGAGATGGAGGGAAAGACAGAGAGAGAGAGAAAGATCTTCCATCCACTGCTTCATTCCCCAAATGCCGCAATGTCTGGGCTGGGCCAGGCCAAAGCCAAAAGCTAGGAGCCAGGAGCCTGGAACTCTGTCTGGGTCTCCCACCTGGGTGCAGGGGCCCAGACACTTTGGCCGTCTTCTGCTGCTTTCCCAGGCACATTAGGGAGCTGGATCAGAAGTGGAGCAGCCGGGTCTTGAACCAGCACCCATATGGGATGCCAGCATTGCAGGTGGTGGCTTAACCCACTGTGCCACAATGCTCGTCCCTCTGTTAGCATCTGAGCAATGTGAGTGATGTGGGGTGTTCAGTGACCCAATGGTGATGCATTATTTTCACAGACATCCTGGTTTATTTGGATTTCCATGGTTCCCCTCATGCCCTGCTCCCGTTCCAGGACGCCGGCCGGGCCAGCACCGTGCCTGCAGTCCGCACAGGTTCCTCTTGGCGATTTCTCAGACTTCCCTCGTGATGGCCGTGGTGGTTTTGAGGAGAGGGGTCCGGTGTTTGGTAGGGTGCCCCACTGTTGGAATTTGATGAGAGTGTCCCATGATTAGACCGGGATTTGGGGTGGGGGTGGGGGAAGATCACAGATAGAGCGCCATGCTCATCCTGTTGCCGGGTGCGCATGTGCCGTCGCCGAGGCTGTGATGTCGACGTTGGCCTCGGCTGCTTGGTGAGGTCGCGTTTGCGGTCTCTCCACTGCCCAGTCCCTGCCCGCTCCTTTCCCAGTGCAGTCTTGGTGCGGAGGTCACGGTGTAGCCCACGCGGAGTGCGGAGGCGCCGGGGACTCCCACCCCCTTCTCTCTGGGAGCAGCCCCTGCACCTTCTGTACGCGGGATCCGTCTCCTCTCCACGCATTCATTTATTCCATCATTCACTCACGTCGGCGTGGGCTCCTGCGTGCGGTCACTGCCACTGCGTCGCTCGGGCTGCTGCTGCGCTGGCCATTGGCTCCCTGGGCTTGCTTTCTACAGTGTCCCGAGGCCCTGAGGCAGGCCAGTGACATCATTGGGTGTGGCCCGCTGATGGACAGGACCCTGTGCCCAGCCAGCGCAGGGCCGGGGGGACTTCCGTGGCCTCGAATGCGGCTTCCACTTTCTCCTCTCTCGGGGCTGTCATTTCTGGAGGTTCTCACGGCAAAGCTTCACAAACACACAGGTGCACGTTGCTGTCACACAGAGGTCGCGTGCGCTTGGCCTGGGCCAGCGTCTGAGGTCCTCAGTGGTCCTGCTGTGCAGAGCCACCCCTCACCCCGCAGCGAGGCTTCTGCGAGAGCAGACACGAAGCTGTGGCTTCAACTTCCCACGTTCAGCTTGCAGGGGAGTGGCAGGGCGGGAGACACCCAGGGCGCACCTTGTTCTGAGCACAGCCGCTCTGTTCTCCGAACTTGCTGGGCCACTTCCTGCTGCCTCTGCTCCTCCTGGCCGCCGTGGGAGTGACCACACAGTCCCCTTCCCAGAGCAAATGGCTCTGCTCCAGGACTTTGCTCACTGCCCTTCCCCCATGCCCTTTGGAAGTCATTAGGCCTGGAGAGAACAGATGTGACTTTGGGAGGGAGAAAGCAGAGGCCACCAGCAGGGGAGAGCTCGAGTGCCTGCGTCCCACCCTCGTCCTGGGAGGAGGGGCACGTCTGCCCAGCCGGCCTCTGCCCGGCTTCCCCCTCCTCCAGCACGGCCGTCCACGGCCTCGACCATCCCAAGCCGAGCCGTTCTCAGAGCTGCAAAGAGGGAGTCAGAGTTTCCAGCCTCACCCACGCCAAGGCAGCCGCAGTGGCCCTCGGGGCTGGTGATGAGCCTGATTGCTGGCACCAGGGCTGGGCAGGGTGTGAGCTCAAGCAGGCACTGGCCCGCTCAGAGCTGACCTTCCCCTCTCCCTGCTGGGGACAGCGGGCCAGGGGCTGCTGGCCACTCCCGGTGCAAGGAGCTGGGCCGAGCGGCGGAGCCTCTTGCAGGGCGGAGGCCTGTCCCCTGAGGCTGACGCCGGAGGTGGGGGGATGTGACTTGGCTCTGTAGGCTTTCCCATGCCGAATCCCCACCCCTCTGAGGTCTCCTGCCCCTCTCGCTCCCTTCTCTCTGCCAGCGCCGCTCTGATCTTTGAGAACTCTGCCCAGGCAGATGGGAGAGGGCAGTCTGCTTCTCCCCGTCCTCTGTACCCCCAAGTCCACGGTGTGAACCCCTGCCCCAGCTCAGCAGTTGGTCTGGTGGGTGGGGTCTGTATGTGAGACTCATCAGGGAGGGGGTGGGTGGCAGGGCCTGGAGACCACGGTGTGCTGCCCCCGCCCTGGCAGCCACGTGCCCATCATTCCCCTCCCCTGAGGGCCTGTTCTGGGGCACATGGGACATGAACCTGCCATGCAGTGCGACCAGTGCACATGGTCGGACCTGGGCTCTCTCTGAACGTGAGCCAGCGCTGAGGCAGCGGCTGAGCAGCCTGCTGTGTGCTGGACCTGCTGTG